ATCTTGAATCAAATATAAGCCGTGGGCGGACGGGTTGAAGTCAGAGATAGTCCTGGTTGGGCAGATCAACTCGAAGGTAGGCTCGGGCAAATTGTCTTTACCTTTCTTGCCTTTCCCTTTTGAGCTGCTTCCGGCCTCACGACCTTTACCCTTGTCCTGTCTTTCCTGAACAACTTCTTCTTTACGCTTGCCTTTTCCTTTGGAGGAATCAGGATTGATCGCTTTGCCATTCCCTTTGCCTCTGCCACCTTTTTCAGCTTTCCCTTTCGGGGGTTGCAGCTCTTCTGGTTGGGCAGGGGCACTCCTCTCGGGTTGCATCCCAATCTTTTTAGCTGAGGCCCTGATCATATCCCGAATCTGATTTTGCCCGTCGTTGCTAAGGACCTTCTCACGCAACTTGGAATCAAGAACCAGGAGGGCTCTAATCTGTTTGGGGGCAAACTCAACGTCCGCCCTCAGGACCTTCTGCTGGGCTTTCCCAATGGCCTCGGCTTCTGCTGCTCCTCCTCCTCCAGAGATCTCACCAGCCATAGAGCTGAGAGTGTTCCTTGTTCCAGAAGAATCATGCTGCACCATCTGATAAATATGAATACCACCTCCCAGGTCAGATAGCTCAGAATCAGGGTCATGTGATACTGCAAGAGTAGTGCAAGATCCAATGTAGATCGTTCCACATAGATGATGTAGCATATGCATGTAAAATGAAGCATTCATACCACCTTCCAAATCTGAGAAGTCATCGATAGGACCGCATAATACTGCAGGAATAGGGCGAGATTCCTTGTCGATCTCCAGTCGTCCAGATGTAGTACAATAGGGCTGTGTAGCCAATCTGCTCGACCTGTCACGGGAGCGATCCGGCCCGAAGTTCCCATGAGTTCCTTCATCAACAAAGAATGGCACAGTTGGGGAAATGTCAGATTCGCCGAGTGGAATGGGTCGAGACTCTCCAACATTCCTCTTGTTTGTTTCAATAGAAGGTAGAGCCTGCGAGAGGGCTCGCCTAAGATTGCAAATGATAACCTTTTGCTCCTCAATGACCTCCTGTTGCATCTTCAAATGCTTAGCCAGTCTTCGATTCCGTTTTCTCAGTGTGCTTTGCAGTTGTATACCTTCATCAAATGCCGTTTGAGCATCCCTACATCTGCTGAGCATGTGGAAGGCAGAGGAATCCGAAGTAACAGGCTCGTCGTCATGTTCCCCACCCCCACCAATTAGCCCAAGGGAGTTCGCCCATAAGTAAACAATAACAATCTGTCCACCCGTCACGTCGAAGTACCATCCCAGCGCCGGGTCTGATTCTGGGGGGAAACTGAAACAGTCCAGGAGAATGGATCTCGCCTTTTCAACAGTGTACTCATCGACTCCCAGCAAACCAGCAATAGTGGAGGGTGAGCTTTCAGGGATAAAATGCAAAGGTTTGATCTTCCAACTCACAAATTTGCTAACAAGAGCTTGCTGATCCTCATCAGAAACATGCATGGTGGCCAAAGCAACAGCATCTTTGACATCCCTTTCATCTTCCTGATCGAGAAATTGTTTGGCCCTCGTCTGTTGAACAGCTTTGCCCATGAGCTTTCGACAAGCAGTTTTGAGACCCAAGACTTGGGCTTCAGACATCTTGGTAAGAGCCATAATAACCCGGGTTTTCTCTGCCAGAATTTGCGCATAGGTCCGATACCGGTTCAAGGGAAAGAGGTCCCTAATTTCATCATTGAACGGCGTGAGCTGCAAATACTGCCCCAGTCTCATAAGATCCAATGGTACCTCCTGTTCAAGCATACCCCCCTGTAAGGATCTTTTGCGAGGCAAGGCCGGTCGTCCATCAATGCCCAGCATAGGCTCGTCCTTCATCCACACCTCAACCCGTCTTATGCGGGGTAGAGGTGGCCGGGGATCTGTGTCTTCAACATAGATCTTCTTGTGCTTACGCCCCCTCCGCTTGTGAGGCTGATCCTCACCTCCACTCGTCTTAGCCGGGGGCGGTGTGCCCTCACGAGGTCGCTCATAGTTCGGGGCCATGGTGAACGTCCGAACATCGGCGAAGTGAACCTTCATACGTCGACGGTCCTTGCCGTTTTTCCTCCATGCCGGCTCTCTTTTCGTGGGCTCATCAGGTTGATTGCTCTGCCAAATTGTTTCATCATCAGTGGAATAGTAGGAGTAATCGTCTCAATATGGAGAGTAAGCTCCATGCCACGTGCACCGAGATAGGCCAGGAAGCAAACCACAAAGAGAAAAGGCCTGCAACTGCGAAATTGCTCAGTGCATTCTGTACCGCATAGTCCTGCTCCACCGCTGATGTCTCTCCTCAACCGCGGCAAAGGGCGCCTCCTCGGAAGCGGGGTCCGAAGACTATTATGGAGCGGCCTCCCCCCGGGGGAACGGGATCGCGACTTAAACCGGATCCTTCGCTGCCAAGCTGGCGCGTCCGATAGAGTCCACACTTCTCGCAAGCCTCGATATCCATCTGAGCCAGAGGCCTGATCCACAATCTCAGCTACCTCCTCTTCTCCATGCAGCTCCTCATCTTCTTTTCTTTCGTGTTCCTCGTTTTCCACGAAGACTTCTTCCATCTCTTCGTTCTCTTCCTCTTTTCCTTTACCATCATCATCTGGGGGTTGTGAAGAGCCCCAGGGCTCCAAACCAAGCCTGCGACATTTGGCTGCAAATATCTCATCTTGATCTATCTGCTCGTGTAGCACACAATATCCATATTGCCAAATCATCCTGTAGTCATGAGGTCCACGAGCCCAGTATACATTGTACAAAAGCTCTGGTGGAATGTCCTGGCCCACCAAATAGACCCCATTAGTCGATTTGTACAGAGGCATCTCTGCATCCAGCAGTTGCTGGACATTCACTGCAACCACCAAATCGCACCCCGGCCGCATACCTGACTGACCGTGGTTCACAAAATAGGTAGTGCTGAAATGCACGTGTTGTCTGTGGCCACATCGCAGCCCCTGTCGTCTGATAGAACCCCAAGCCGCCAAATATGTGCCATGAAATAAAGTGGGCTGGTCCACCTCATTCGGCATTGTGATCTGGCGATGCATGTCGTTGCTGAGGTCCAACTCCTTGTTGTGCCCCTGAGTGGCCCGAACAAGCCAACCATCTTCTCCTTGATGTACCTCAAATCTACCCTTCTGGCACTGATTGACCGCCAACAGCACGCTATCAATCGAGGCATGTGGCTTCCGGGCCAAAATGTCTTCCACCTTCACGTGCCCATCACTATCCATTTCAATACCCTCCTTCACTGCTCCATGCCGAAGAACATAAGAAAGGTATCTGCTTATATCATATGTAACCCCAGGAATATCTGCAAACTGTGAGTTGCTCCGCCCTTTTTGGTGGCCTTTGCCTCCTCCGCAGAGATCTGTGCCACTACCATCATGCAGATCCTCCAGCCCAGAGCAAGGGGCACACAATTCGAAAGGGGATGTCTTGTAGGCCTCCCATGAAACCTCGCAGTTCTCAAGCCAAATACTGTTCACCCGGACGGCCTCAAAGTGGTTGCTCCAAAGCCTGAGCACCAATGGCTTAATCTCCTGATCCTGAGTTGTGGGCAAAAACCTCACCACCTGACCGAAGTGATTGAAGTTGCACACACTGCCCACGTTGACCACCCAAATTTCCTGGTGCAGAAAATCGGCAGTTGCCTGAATAGCATCTTCATCAGCCCATTTACCACCTGCTTTGTGCTTCTTCTGGGTCTCCTGATTGGCCTCCATCAGCACCTGTTTTTTGATCCTCCTCCAGCTCCTGGCATGCCCAAAGCGAAGTTGGCTCACAGCGTACCAAAAACAGTTGCCTCTCCCTGCATTGTTCAAGGTTCTCCCCGTCACCGATCCATATGTCGCAACAGGACCTTCAACGTTCCGTCCATGCTTGTCCAGGTCGATGTCCAACCCGCCAAGCTGCTCATCTTCCATACCGCCAATAGTGCAGACGCGGCCAAGAAGCTCCCAAAGACGGAATAGCACCCGACTCCATCCGCAAAGGAGCATTGCCACGCCCACCCAGCCAAACAGAAGTCTCACGCCCCCAAGGCAGCTTCCATGGCCGAGATTCACTTCGAAACTGGTTGAGCCATATGAATGAACCAACGGTTCAGCATGTCCCAAATAGATGCTCACCGCATGCCCAGGGGACTTATTGTAAGGATCTTTTCCATGAATAGACCAATCAAAGGCGAGGGTACATGAAGCCCACAGAAATACAAACAGAGGGAGCCGGAAGGGGAACCAAGGGGTCTGCCGACATCTCCCTTGCACCCAAGTACGACACCCGGCCTGCATCTCATCCAATTCACGAAGAATAAGCACCAATAAATAGTCCAATACTGCAACTCCTCCACGTAGACATCGGCAGATGGAGAAATAGAGAATACCAATGGCACCAACGATGAGGTACTCGAGGAACGCATCAGTAGGACGCTCACGAAGAAGAATACATACCAATACCCAGTAGTAATCATAGATACAAAATAGCGCCAATTCATCTCTGCAGTCCTTATTGATCCTCACTCGGCTCCAGATGAGGGAGATCCAATAAGCTGCTTTACCGGGAGAAATACAAATACCATTCCAAACCAACAAGAACATCTTCGAAAACAGATCAACAAAAGAATACACACCGCCAGCTCGGGATTCCTCCAGAACCCCCCCATCAACGTCTCCAAAGGATATGGAAAACATGATACAGTTGACCAGAAAGGCCAACATCAACCCCCGTCCCCAAATCTGTAACTGTCCGGGTGATGGGGCCATGACCAAGGAGGGGTCAGGTCCTACCGAACAGCTAACAGCTGTCACCGCGGGAAGGCTTGAGGCTGAAACAGCTGGTTTCAACTGTGGCTCACCTGAGTCCAAGTTTTGTACCCAAAATGCAACCCTGGTAAATGGAACCACAGGACTAAAACCTGCGGTCGTGGTTTAATTTTGACCCATACCTTTTTAAAGGCGTCGAAGGCCAAGCCGACCTCGGCGCCCAACCCGCATCCACGCGCTTGGCCCTTCTGCGTCGTGTGGCCGCAAAGTCACCACGGGCGGTCTCCTAGCGGAGAGCTTGCACACGGCGAAATCTCAAGGAGTCATGCATGTCTCTCAATTCCAAAACCTGTTTTCCTCCTTCCTGAGTGGATGGGCCAAAAAAACAGTCTGAACTTTATATTTACCACTAAGCTGGTCGTCTTCAAAAAAAAATAAAAGAACTCACGGAGTGAGTTCTTTCCACCTTAGCAGAAGCCGCCGCGTCTCGCAGCCGTGTGTTCAATGCTACACAACAACAATCCAGCAACATGAATTAAGGGATACCCAAAAAAGCCATCACGGTGAGCTCGTTTTACTCCCAAGTCAGCTCCAAACAAGGATGTGCCCTCCCAACAGCCCTGGAAAATGAACAGACCCAAAGAACACAAATTCAGACATTGCTAGGACATTGGAGACTTGTACCCGGACACCTACAGAACATGAGCTTCCAGAGAGACATGGCTCCAGGGGACTCAGTTGCCCTTGGGCGCCCTGTTATCAGCACCCAAAGGTCGATCGGGGTGCATTCCCCTACCTTCACCTCAAAGATCCCAAATGAGACTTGGAGGGAAATCACACCGAAAGTTTGGAGAAGTGAAAATGTTTGACGAGTTTGAGAGGGCTCCTATTAGGACGTTCAAGAACCCAGGGACTTGCGACCATGCTTCAGGCAGGGTCGACATGCTGGAGCAACTGCTAGGTGCTAGGTTGATTTCAGCTGGTTTTTGCCTGGTTTTGTCCCCCCCCCATTTCATGTGGGGTCGGGGATCTTGTGGATCTGGCTCCAACCACCCTGGCTTCCCTTGGGGCTGAGCCCCGACCGTGTCCTGGGCTCCACCTTGCTCAGCCGCAAGCGGCCTGCCATGCGCCGAGTCTCCCTTCTTCCGCCACCCGAGAAAGCTCGAAGAACTTGGGCTCAGCTCCCTGGGAGGAACCGAAATGGAGCGCTGGCCAATCCTCCATATCCTTTTGTGCAACCGCAAAAAAGCCCCTTTCGTAACCTAAGGATCACGGGTTGCCTTTGAACGGGCTTCCCCCCATGATCCTTTTGTGCACACATAAACGGGATCCCTTTCATGACCTGAGCTAAGGATCAGGGATGGTCTTTGAACAGCTCAGAGGCTTCCCTGCATTCCGGGCGGGATTGGCGCCCAATCGTTTCGAGGTGTTCCGGGGACACTTTCCCATCCCTTGAGTTTTCAATCAGCTTCCCTCTAATTGCTGGTTTGGAGCTGAATCGGTGGTTTGCAGGGGGTGGTGTTCGTGGTGCTCCGTCCCTCTAGAACCAGGGGCTCAAATCCAAATACAAACAAGTCCACACCACCAAGGCCTTGCCCCAGTTTCTTTCTGATGCGCAGAACACATGATTCAAGTGCAAAATGGACCCCGTTGGCGATATGTCCGCAACATGCATCCAACCTGGGAATCCCCTTTTCAAGGGCTGGGGAGGAGGGGAGGAGCCCAAACAAGCCCGTAAGGCCCCTAGAGCCTTATTAAGAATATACATAATAAGCCTTATTAGCCCTTGGTCCCCCCTCCCATCCGCCGCAGGAAACCAGCCTGACTTGGAATTTCTTGCCCTTTGCAGAGCAGGAGAAAAAAAAGAAGGTCCGGCAAAAGGAGTATAACATGAACCAACGCACAACCGATTCCAAGCTATGTAGAAGCAACAATGCTTGGGTTTGTAGGGGCGAATAGCTATGTACATAAATCCAAAGGCATTCATGTTGCCTCAGGGTCAACGGACAGCTTGGTTCTCTAGGGGGTGCACTTCTGACTTTGTTGCATAGTCGGCTTGCTGGCTCAAAATCAGCAATGAAATGACCCCGACAAAAGTCATCCAACCGATTCGGAATCCTGCAAGGGAAATCCCAAACGGTTCATTACCAAAACCCGGGCTCGGTCATTCGCTATCGCACCAGCAAGTAAGTCCCGTGGAAAAAAAACAACAACATATGTCCAGAAGGGACAGGCCTTTAAAACCAAAACATGAGCAAATGGACGCTTGTGTAGGCAACCAGGAAAGAGCTATGTTTAGATATGAAGGTGAACCACATTTGGTTGATTCCCCACTGCGGTAATTGAAATGCACCTATGGCAAACGGAAGCTTGTGTAATCTTGGTTGCTGTGACGACCCGTCTGCAATAAGTGAATCACTTTTGCGGGTTCAGTACGGACAACCCAACTTGATTTCCACCAAAAAGCTAAAGTCTACAGATCCGTAACCCAACGGCAGTCAGCTTTTCTTGCTGGCGCTCAGAAGGGGATGAGAAATGGAATGAACCTGGGGATTCCCTTCTAATTAAAGGAAACCAAATCGGCGATGGTTTTTCTTGAGGTCATTGCAACTTCCCCTTTGCCTGCCTATCGCACCACAGCAAGTTCTGCTTTATCTACCCTACAGCAACAAAGTCTACTTGCTGGTTTGATTTTGGAGACTAAGGGGTATGAACAAACGGTCTTTGTGATGGTAAATGGAGACCAATTTAGAGCAAAGGGAACCCATTTCATTGGTGGCATAAACAAAGTCTTTTTGTCCCCATTTACCTTGGTTGCTGTTGACCCCCCTGCAAAAAGTTTAACTTTTTGGGGGGTTAGTGGAAAACCCAACTTGATTTTCCAAAAGTTAAAGTCTAAAGATCCGTTGCCCAATAGCAGTCAAGTTTCCGTGAAACACCAACCTAAAGCTGTCAAAGCCGAGGACACCTCCGTGTTGTTTTCTCCAACTCGGGGCGGCTGCGCCGCAGACCCCGCGGCTCACGCGGCTGCCGCGGCAGCTGCGAGCGCGGCAACTTCGGCGCGGCCTCGAGAAGCGATGCGGGCTCCGGAGATGGGTGAGTTCTTCTTTTTGTTTAAGGGAAGCCACGAGGAACACCCGGAAAAAAAAAACTCGTTCTGGTTTTGCTTTTTTTTGAGGGCGGGGGGGGTTCGTTTGGGGATCAATATGGGTGTGTCTTCCGTTTAAGGGTAATAGTGTTTAGTGGTTTTACAGGGAAACCAGAGGCAAAACCACCTTTTTATGTTGTGTTATTCTTTGTTCTGAAAATACTATTTCTTGGGGGGCCGGGTCCTAGAAAAACACACACCCATTCCAGCCTAAAAACATCATGGGCCACAATCGTGATGCTTCAACTTCAGCTGAAGAAGAATGAACAGGAACCGACAGGAGTTAGCCTTTTTTTGTTGGAAGACACCTGTTTTCAGGCGTACAGGCTATGAAACCACAATTCAAGCAGGGTCCACATCCCCCATTTCGACAGCCCCCCCACCGAAGACCAACCAAATATCCCTGAGCCCCCTCGCCTCGGCCGGGCGATCGTGGAGCTTCACCTCAGTCTGGGATGAGTGGGCCAGTCTGACAACTTGAGCTAGCTTTGAAGGGGATTTCCTAGGAACTTACACAAAAACCCAAGAGTGAACTGGATCCCCTTGGTATAAAAGACTGCAACCCAAACAACTTCCCATGAGGCAGGATTCCAAGAGTGCAACTCGGATCCTCGAGTGCAACAAGTCATTCTGCTTGATAGTTTGCCGGTAAGTAATTTGTCATTTTCCGACCAGAAACAGGAAAAGAAAAAGTCGGCTTTGGACAAGTCGAGCCAAGGCTTTCGGTACCCAGTGCCGCATGTACAAGCAGATTTCGACTTTTTCACCACCCCAAGTCCCTTTGGGGGGAAATCGGCCACCTCTCGGTTAAAGTCTTTCTTGGGGTAGTGAAAAAGTGTTTCCCGGTGTATAAGGGCCTCAACAAGTACTTCATAGCTACAAGGCGATGGTGTCGAATCTGTACGTCCTTGCCCTGGGACTTATGCGTGTGCCCCAACACAGGATGCAGTGAATATCTCCAGTGAACCAAGGATGCGGCATGGGCGCTGTCCTTTGGACAGAAGAACGCACAAAGCAATCCACTTGCAGGCTTGATGGCATGAAGTTTGACCCCACCCCGGACACCGACATCTAACTTGAGAACCTATTCAACCTTCAGTGGCAGCGCACGCGCAGAAGAATCCCAAATCAGCCAACATGCTCACCCGCTACAGTAGTACTGGCAGCTTCCTGTGCAAAAAGGGTCCCATAGAGCCAGTGTGCCTAAGTCCATTAGCCAAAACAAGGTCAGAGCTTGTGTCCCGCCAACAGTACCTTCCCGACAAATCGAAAGTACGACACACTGGCAAGCAAGTGTGTTGGCGTCAAGCCCACCAAATGGTTGGTGCCCTTTTGGATGGTTGCTCCTCTCAAAGTCAGCCACTGAAAAGGCGAACCCAATGTTCCTTCCTGGAAAACCGTGTACAAACCAGATCCTGTCTCGCAGTCAACAGGCCAACTAGGTTTAGCACATACCTGGCACCCCTGGTGACACTCACTTGTACCCGAAAAAGGGGTGGCTTGGATTGGTGGTTTAGTTAGGGCTGGATGTGGTGACCCATTTACACTCTACCGGAACCAAGGGCTCCAACAGCTTACCAACTGGTGATTCGGAGCGTGGTTTGGCGGTTAAGGGCCGGTTCCCCTACCCTAAAAAGCCAGGGCTTCAAAATCCGAATCTAAACCCCGCTCCAAATCACCAGTTGGGTTACCTGAGACATTTTTTCGGGTTGCGTGAGACACAAATGCAACACACAAAACCGCGGAAAAGAGAAAAGAAGAAGAAACACACTGCCGCTGTCTCCATAAGCCAAGGGGCCCAGGTGATGCATCCCACCTGGCTCTTTTCGAAGCGAACACAACGAGCTTTCAACCAGATGCGCACCAATTAACATGCAACCTGACAAGAGGGTCGTGGAAGTCCATTTTCCGTTTAAACGTCAAGTTCCATGCTAATTGGTGGCGCTATCCCCGGAATGGTCTTCTTTTTGGTTCCCAAATAGAGCTTCCTCAAGTAATGGCAAACCCAAATAAGGAAGAGACCACCCAAATACTGCTGACCCCAAATTAATCAATCGCTGGTTGATTTTGATCAGGGGGTGACTCCTTTTACGCCTATAGTGGTTGACTCCGGACCACTCTTGCAAGACCCGCAAAGTAGGATGGGTTCTACTTAGACCCACGGATCCCATCAATTACATGAGAAACCTGGCCCGGTCTCCTCCTGTGCCTCAACCCTTACACGGGTACCGGCCCAAAAAGCACCCGTCTGCTAACTGGTTCCGCCCTCTGACTTTGTAGCCTCTTGTTGAACACTGCCCCCAACCTCTCATTCACTCGCGATAGTGTGGATGGTTGCGAAATCCATTTCGCACCACCGTTCAGAAACCCTACGATGATTCCCCTGTAAATGCCAACAATCAATGGTTTCCCATGGCTTCCATCAAAGGACAGTTCCAGCTGGCGAATGGAACCTTTGAGTTGCGCCGAATTGAACCCGTTGGCCAGTTTTGGCCTAGGAAGCTTGGAATAATAATGAATGTGTTCATCTCAAAATAGGGGTACCTCCCCAAGAGTCACTGTTTTCCTTTAGTTTCCCTTTAACCCAACCGCAAACAGGGGACCCTCCAAAACCGACACCATAATAATGGTCCCACACTAACTTCTAGGGGTACCTTCCCCATTCTTTCCAAGGATGCTTCTTTTCAGGAAACCATCAAAAACCCAGGCGAAACAGCCAGCTATTGAAAAGAACAATGGTTGAACAGAATGGGGAATCAACCCCTAGATAACTGGCACGCCCACGCCCTTGACTGACAAAATTCCAACGTCTAAGATGGTTTCCACCAAGCCGCAAACTATGGAAGACATCTGACACACAAGGGAGTGAACATGCTGCTGTTGACACACACACAAAGCTGTTGATACTAGAAGAAAGTTGTGCTTTGAACGTGTTCCACGTTAACGTTTTCGCAGCCGGCTCCCGCCTTGTGCTGGTAAGGCACGGGTGTTGCATAGCGCTCGGCGCGCTCGAGCACCCACGCGAAGACACGCGGATAGCCCTTGACCAGGCTCAAGTCCTCTCAAAGCAGAGATGGCCATTCGACGGAGGGCTGGATTTCCAGCGATTCCAACAAGATCGCCACTGTTGAAAGTTCCAAGAAGAGACATTTGAGGGACCCCTGTAAAGGCCCCCATCGAAAACAAAAAACCTTTTCCAGCTCTAAGGCAAAAAACATTAAGGTCTAAGGGGCCTTTTGGGTTTCACCAGCGTCTTCTTTTGCGTTGGTTCGGTGGTACCCCTTTTAACTTCTTGTTGCAAAGGAAAACCAAAGGACTAAATGTCCATTTTGAAGGGGTGTCCCCTAAACAAAAAAGACGCACCCACCATAGACCGAATCGCCATGATGAGATCCCACCCGAGATGTGGCTGCGATACGCTATATAGCGATCCTCGACACAATGCTTCGCCAGGTTCTCCGGCGCGCCTATGAAGCTCTGCCTGTGGAACTTCCAATGAAGCCAAAGGGGGGTTTTGAGGGTATCCTGTTGGGAAACCAAAACAAATGAGGGTATCCTTGTTGAGGGTATCCTTTTTGAGGGTATCCTTTTTGATTTGAAGGGAAACCAAAAGGGATACCACAAATGTTAGGGGTTCCGCTTTACCCTTTTCACCCTGGTAAAAAGGGAAACCTTTGACAGAAACCACCCCCCATCACTTCGGGAACGGGAGCTTGACTTGCAGAAAGTGGGGCAACCCCCGAGCCAATGTCCATCGACTTCTGCAAAAGGCCCATGGCGAAGGCGCCCTTCGAAGGGGCAGCCTTCAAGCTGCGGGCGCCCAGCGAAAGCTGCAGTTCAGTCGCAAACACCTGATTCATCACTGCTCAGTCATAGAGGTCCTTGTGTGCTTTACTTCTTGGGCAGGTCACAATGGCAGACACCCCAAAACCCCAAAACCCCAAAACCCCCAAACCCCCCCCCCCAAAACCCCCCTCCGGAAAAACAAAAACATGTCGAGGCCTCAACCGCATCACTGATGACGACGAGCCAAAAACACGTGAGGCGCCTATCTTGCTCAGCATCGCTCCACGGGACGAGCTGACCATCCTCCGTCCAACGACCCACCTGGCATGTCGCCGGGATGCTCCGCCTGACGATTCCTCTCCAACACCTGGAAATTGGATAGCCTTAGAAGCCACGAAAAGGCGATTGCTGATCAGAATGAGATTTGGATAGGTCGGATTGTCCTTCCATTTGCTTAGGTCTCTGGGAAAAATGATCATATTTGCAGTAGTGATAGATTCCCTTAAAAGCAACAACCAAAACATCTTCTCAAGCAACTGTCTATCTGTTGTCCAGTAGTGATAGATTCCCTTCAACACCAACAGGGGAAAACATCGATGGCTGCAACTCCGCCTTGAGGCAGCCCACCACCGTGACCTCGGGTGTCGGGCATTTCGCTCAGAACATCGGCTCGAGCCAATTAAAAGGTCCGACCAACAAATATCCGGGGTGTACCAACCTCTTGCATACAGGCACATTTTGGAAAAGCAATCGACCCCAGTTCGCTAGGAAGCTTCTAGACCCGAAAGGCCTCCAAGAGTTATCAGGGTTCGGAAGTCTCGGGAATGCAAACAATCAGCCTCATAAGGCATCAAAGACCGAATGGTGGAGCTCTCGAGGAGTGCGTACGCGGCAATGAGTTTTCTCCACTATTTTTGGCCACGCCCAGATCTTCCATACCAACATACGCTCAAAAGGTGACTACTTGGCCTAAGTCCCCATCGTCTGTGATCAGAAGTGCATGTTGACAGCCGCACACTAGGGAATCCTCAAGTAAGAAACCTTGACTACAGCTTAAACAGCGCGTTTGACCCCCGAAGCTATTAGAAGACTTCATGGCTGCACGCACGTGTGGCACGTTGCTGTCTGCAACAAAATTGTGATCTGAAAGCAGATTGACATCAAACACAACATGTGTCGTTTTGTTGGGTCTCTCCTCTGGATTTACAGGGGATGCATACAGAATTTCCAACCAAAAGGCCGGGTAACTCGTTGATCGAGTTTCCGAAGCCCGAAAGAACTGTGCCTCATGTTCAACACGATCTGACAACATGGAAGGATGAGCAGGCAGGTGTTCACATTGCTTGGGGCGAGCATTAAATAACGCTGGAGCAACAGTCGAAGGTAATCCGAACTCCTCATTCGTGATGCTTACAACTCTGTTAGCAACATGATTGATTGATTCGGGGGAGTCAGTGGTAGACATCGCTTGCGGGAGCTACCTAAGCAACCATTCGGGATCAACAGCCACTGCACCTCGGAGGGTGAAGTCGTGTAACGGACACTTATGGAGTAAGTGCAGTTGCGTACATGTGAGTCACAATCAAAACCTGGTACACAAATGGTGAACCCAGAACCATGTAAGAATTTAAAAAGGCGGCCGCAACTATTTCCGGCTGGGACTGCCCCTTACTAACCTTCATCTACCCGGGTTTTGATTGTGGCTCATGTGTATTTGTTTCATGTCCAGTTCTGGGACTGCGTTCAACACAAACACACAACATATAATCAAAAGTTATACACTGCGTTTTCCCCACGAGGGGTGGGTCATGGTTTCTGAGACTGGGTTGATGTCTTCTTAGATCTGAGCAGCGACCACTGCATGCTCGTAAACAAGTTAAGTTGCTCCGAATCCAATAGGATCCAACCAAACCATGACACATATGACACATATGTATATATATATATGTGATCTGGGTGAATTATAATATTTCACCAACCTGAAATAAGGTGGTTGGGGGGCTATTCACCACATGAACCATCATTTGGGGTGAATTCGGTCGTGTGAGGTCCTTATAATTCACCCAGATGTTATACGATGTAGTTGCCAGATTTTACATATGAGGCATATCAAACAAACAAGCGGTCCACCTCTTCATCCGTTTTCCAAACATTCAATCGCCGCTGTACAAAGAGGGCCGGGGTTTTGGGGGGGTCACCTCCTCGAAGCACCCGAAGCGAGCGCTTTGGGGCCCGGAGCTTCACCCACAAGCGTCTTCGACTTGGACTGCGCGATGCAGATGCGGCCTGGAACTTTTCGGCCCGGCGCCCGTTGTCAAGGGCTGCATGAAAAATCCCCTGGTTGGACAACTAGCTTCCTATGTGGAAGCAACACAACATCTGGACAGCTATGGCTACTCACCTCTTGCCTTTTCTTCCCTCGCAGCTTTTCCGACCCCTGGAAAAGGTAGACGCCCTTCCCATTGAGCAGGAAGATAGGGGAAGGGGGGGTCCCGCAGGGTGGCGACAAACACGTAGGCAAACCCGGATAAATATGTCCTGACGTTTGGCTTGAAGCATTCCAGGTGCTCGGAGTGAAACTCCGAAGGAAAGCACAAAGCACAAACTCGCAGAAAGTACTTGGGTGTTCGATTCGCCAAGTTAAGTGGTGAATAACCTAGGTCATAACCTGCAAACAAAGCCAAGCTAACTCTTACTCGGGGCACTTTTAGGTTATGCCTTAACCAAGGCTGCTTGGCCGAACACCCAAGTAGCACAACCTTCCAGCTGCCCGAAAACGAAGCCGGTCGATTAATCTGGCTGGCTTCGAAGGCACACAACTTGCTACCCATAGTGCTGCGTTCCTGGAAACTAGGGTTTCTTACTTGCATGGTGCTCAGTAGGGAATGACCCAAGGTTTTGAGAATGAACCGTTCAGGAAGCAATAGGGGATGGTTTTTCTTGGGATCATTCCAACTCATTCCGCTATCAAATTTCTGGGTGAGGTCGCAAGCCATCCAGAGGCCGTTCTGAGCTATGTGGCCTGGCGAAAGCGTTTCAGGCTGGCAACGAGCGTCAAACCGGACCTCAGGTCCCGAAATTAGTGCATACAATGGGCTCACTTGCCCACAGGACCCAGAAATAAAAGGTTAACCTTTTGGGGCCATGACTAAAACTAGACCAAAAAGCAAAAACCAAAAGGTCAAAAAGTCGGCTTATGTCGGCTTTGGGCAACTGAGTGGGGGGACCTTCTAGCTCGAGACGTGGGATGTTTCTGGGTTCCTGCGGTCACTTTGGCCCGACACGTTTGGATGATCGGTGACAGCGGACAATTCTCGCCTCTCTTCTTCAGCCACGAGCCCCGGATCTCCCAGACCTGGCGAAGGAAAACACGTAGCCAGGGAGAGATTCAACTTGCGATCATTGCGAGAGATGCGGGGAATGAAAAAAGGAATGACCCTCCAAAAATCACCCAGCCAACTGGTGGTTTTGTTTCAGGGGATTAAAGGTTGGGTTGATTCCATTTCACATTCCCTACTCACTCATCGCACCAGCAAGTTAAAACACAATGAGAACTGGGTGCCACCAGTTGCCCACAATGCCCGCTTCACGCTGGAACCAGTATTCAGGGACCCTTGGTCAAGCTCCTTCTCTAGATGAGAAGGAGGCGGCAACCCGGAAATCGGGAAAGCAACATCCAGTCGCGGCTTCCTGGGCCGATTTGATCCGGCCGATTTGCCCGGGCCTTGCCGCCATCAAAGATCTTGTCGCACCAGCGCTTCTTGATCACCAGCGCGACGTCCTGAGCGCTGCTCAAAAGTACCCTGTCGGGGGGGGGGGGTTCAAGAACACCAAAAGTAGCACCACCATTTGCCCCCCCCCCCGCCCGTGTTGAGTCATATCCGAACAACTCGGTTTGAGGCTGGGCTTCTTGCACGGTACGTGGTTTGCGAAGGTCCAAGCGTGTTTTCAGGAGCTGCCCTATGGCGTTGTTTTGGACTGCGCCAGAAAGTGAGCCGCTTTGCACCAACCGAATCCAAATCTTCCGAGGCTGTTGCAAAGCAACCCAAATTTGGAAACAATTCTAGGGACCAAGAAGAAGAGGGTGATCACCTTTTGGCACCTTTACCAAAAATGGACCACACAGTGGGAAATCCCAAGGTCAGATTCGGTCGATTCGCATCGGGCCACGTGAAAACTTTTGCGCCGAGGCGCTGGGCCAACAGTCGGCTCCTGCCTGGCCGCGAGAATTCAGAGGGCCCTCCCCCCAAACAAGAAACAATCAAAGATATATGAAATTGTGGTTCCTTTGGTTTCACTTTAAAACACCCCCCCCAAAAAAGGGCAGCCTCAAAGAAAGACACACCCTTGTGATTCGTTGAAGGCACCGAGTTCCTTTCAAAGCTGGTTCGGAGCAGGGCAAGCTGTAAGGTCACCGTTGCCGTGGCTTCCCATGTGGTTTGGAGCCCGGCGCTTCGGACCCATGAAGCAAACAGCCTGAGGGCTCTGGAAAATGGAGCCCACTGTGATACAAGAAGGGCCGAACCCCAGAGACCAAGCCCCCAATAGAAAGAGGGGATTCCAACTTGTATCACAGTGGGGATACACCCCGAGTGATCCAACCCGCCTGAGGGCTACCCGATGACATGTGCCTGTCTACCCTTCGCTTTTGTTGTACTTGAAAGGCTGGGAGCACCTTGTCTGCCCCAAAGGGCTTTCTCCTTCTTTGTTCTTCTTGTTTCTCTTTTTGTTTAAGGGGGGAGGGGCGTTGAACCAAAGACAAACTCCATTCACATGTAAAGACAATTTCTGGGACGGGATGCCCACGTGTGTAGCCATATTAGGAAACAATTGGCAGCCATGATCAGCATATACTCCTTAAAGAAGATCCAATCCCAGCAATGTTTGTGAACAAAGGCCTCACAGGTGATGTTCACACAGCCCAACGAGAGGGAGCAACTATATAAGGGCGTGCGCGTGTGTGCGTGTGTGCGAGTGTGCGTGCGTGCGTGCACGCGCACGTGTGCGGGTATGCGCGCGCGTGTGCGCGTGTGCGCGTGTGCGCGTGTGCGCGTGTGCGCGTGTGCGCGTGTGGGCGTGTGTGTGTGTGTGCGTGTGCGTGTGCGTGTGCGTGTGCGCGCGTGTGGGCGTGTGTATGCGTTGTGTGTGTGTGGGTGCGTGTGTGCGTGTGTGCGTGCGTGCGCGTGCGTGCGTGCGTGCGTGCGTGTGCGTGCGTGTGCGTGCGTGTGGCGTGTGCGTGTGTGCGCGTGTGCGTGTGTGCGCGTGTGCGTGTGTGCGTGTGTGCGTGTGTGCGTGTGTGCGTGTGTGCGTGTGTGCCGTGTGTGCCGTGTGTGCCGTGTGTGCCGTGTGTGCCGTGTGTGCCGTGTGTGCCGTGTGTGCCGTGTGTGCCGTGTGTGCCGTGTGTGCCGTGTGTGCCGTGTGTGCCGTGTGTGCCGTGTGTGCCGTGTGCGCCGTGCGCCGTGCGCCGTGCGCCGTGCGCCGTGCGCGCAGTGCGCGCTGCGCGCGCGTGCGCGCGTGTGCGCGTGTGCGCCTGCGCTGCGCGTGCGCGAGCGCGTGCGCGTGCGCGTGTGCGTGTGCGTGTGCGTGGCGGTGCGTGGCGTGTGCGTGTGGTGTGCGTGTGCGTGGCGTGTGCGTGTGCGTGTGCGCGTGCGCGTGCGCGTGCGCGTGCGCGTGCGCGTGCGCGTGCGCGTGGCGCGTGCGTGCGCGCGCGTGCGGGTGTGTGTGTGTGTGTGTGTGTGTGTGTGTGTGTGTGCGTGTGTGCGTGTGCGTGTGTGCGTGTGTGCGTGTGTGCGTGTGTGCGTGTGTGCGTGTGCGTGTGCGTGTGTGCGTGTGCGTGTGCGTGTGTGCGTGTGTGTGCGTGTGTGCGTGTGTGCGTGTGTGCGTGTGTGCGTGTGTGCGTGTGTGCGTGTGTGCGTGTGTGCGTGTGTGCGTGTGTGCGTGTGTGCGTGTGTGCGTGTGTGCGCGTGTGCGCGTGTGAGGGTGTGTGTGTGTGTGTGGGTGTGTGTGTGTGTGTGTGTGTGTGCGTGTGTGCGGGTGTGCGGGTGTGTGCGTGTGTGTGCGCGTGTGTGCGTATTTGCGTGTGTGTGTGTGTGTGTGTGTGTAGGTGTGCGTGTGCGCGTGTGTCTCTGTATCTGTCTCTGTCTCTGTCTCTGTCTCTGTCCGCGTCCGCGTCCGCGTGCGCGTCTGCGTCGGCGTCGGCGTCTGCGTCTGCGTCTGCGTCTGCGTCTGCGTCCGTGCCGGCGTCTGTGTCTGTGTCTGCGTCTGTGTGTGCACGTTTGAATTTTGAGGGTTCCCTTCTTTCTAGTTGTTTTTCCCTTTCGGGGAGCCAGCAGGAAACCTGAGCCACCCGGTTCCGTCGCCTAGCTGGAGCGCCTCGTGGGGATTTCTCCGGTGAGAAGCAATCGATCACCTTCCGAAGCACTCGGTGTGCCAACTACTGTGGATGGTTGCGAAATCCATTTCGCACCACTTTGAAACCATGGGAAACAAACATTTGTTGGCATTTACAGCATAATCATCATTCCAGGGTTTCTTAGGTGGTGCAGGATTTTGTCCATCCACAGTATCACCTTTCAAATTTTAAATTGTGCTGGGGCTCAAATCCCTAAACCACCAATCCAAACCACCAACTAGGGGGAAACTGAAACTAATGGCTAGACTGCTGGGAACCCTAGATTTAGCAACCCCCCCTCACCAAATAATTCTTGAAGGAGGGGAGTCCCTTTTAGTGGGGACTCTTCTCTCCCCCCTGATTCATAACAGTTGGATTGAGTGATCACAGGTCAAACCCCAAACTGGCATCACCCCCACACGTGGAGTCCCCCGCAAAGCAGACTCCACTATCATAGCCTTTTGGTTTCCGTGTTCATCAGTCCCAGGAGCTCTTGTTTACCACTGCAACATAGCTTTCCCAAGTTGAAAGTTCCAAAACTGGGAAGGTGAGACTGAAAGGAACCCGCGCCTTTTCATTGGCAGCAGGTGATTTTCAATACCACAAAAATGGCACGCGAAAAACGCGTGTTCAATCTGATCCCTTTCCGACTCCTAGTAAGCCAGCTGCTCTCCTGGACGAATGGCATGGACCCGCGAACAACGGCCACTTCGCAGCCACAACTCCTTTTGGGCACCAAGTCTTCGGCTCACAAAGGGCAACTCTAAAGCAAAGCCCCTCCAAACAAAAGGAGAAAAAAGGAAGCAAGCCACAGGCTGGGGTCGAAGTTGCACAATTCTCGGCTGCCCAAAAAGCTACAAACAAATTCCTCTGCCACACTTTGACGCAGACGGGCACAGTAAACCAAGCTCGAGTTTGCCTCCTACACGAGCTTCCCGTCAAGTAACTTCCATTTGGTTGAGGCCAAATGGAAAAATAAGACATATATTTCCAGTAATGAACTCCTAAGACCAACAAGGGAAAATAAACAACTACTCTTAAGCAACTGGATGATAAAACCCAAGATGCCCCGCGAACCGACGCGGGCGCCGGCTGCGCCCGGCCTCCGGAGGCTCCATGGGTCTCTTCCTGAGGGCAGGTGGCGTTTTTGTGCGACCGGAAGTTCCGAAAATGGCCCGTGGGTCAAACATGCATACCCAAAATGGAGCCCTGGTGAGTGGAACCAAAGACTCAAACCTGGGGTTTGGCGATGGTATTTTTGACCCAGACCCAAATGGCTTGGAGTAGGCTCGGAGCCATGGAGTTGAGTGAACCACACCCTGCCGTCGATACTTTACACCGTGAGCTGAAAATAATTGTGTCCAAACAAGTTGCAACCAGAAAGCAACTACCGGAGGAACGGAATTTCTTGCCCAAACCTCAGGTGATACTGTGGATGGACAAAATCCTGCACCAACTTGGAACATGGGAAACCGTTGCTCATTCGTATTTATAAGGGAATCATCACTTCCAGCGTTTCTTAAGTGGTGCGAAATGGACTTCGTCCATCCATAGTATGTCAACCAGAAAGCAACTACACCTGGAGGAACGTTCCTACCCGTGCCGGCGCCCTCACCTCAGGCACCGGCACAGGAGACCAGCCTGGCGTTTTGCCCAAGGCCCAGCAAGGCCGAGCCAAAGACACGGTCGCACCACCGATATGAAACCATGGGAATGAAAAACCAAACGCTCCAATTCGATTGATTTGGGGCCCTCAAACAGCCAAGTTTTGAGACCCCCAAACCCCTACGAGCTGTCCAATGGAGGGTCTGGGTCTTCCATTGGAAGCCCCAGGAGCGTCTGGGTATGAGGCTTGTTAGGGTATTTGCAGGAGAATCGAGATGGATTTCGGTAACCATCCACTGTATTGAAGGGAAAACACATTCTGCAATCGTGACTCATTTACTTGCATCTTCAAGGCACTTCTGTCTCTGTCTCTCTCTCTCTCTCTCTGTCTCTCGCGCCATCGGAATCTGTCCCGCTGGTGTGGGGGAATGCTGGTCAAGGGAATCGTCAAGGCACTCACGTGGTTGCAACTATAGCTTTCATACTCAAGTTCGCACTCTCTCATGCTTCTCACTAAGTTCAGTCAGGGCTCCGAGCCGGTCGCTTGCAACACATGCTCGCAAGCGAGTTCAACATCCATGTGTCTTGTAGGTTCCCTATGGGCAATCAAAGCGAAAAAGGGTATCTGCAAACAAAACACCAACAGAATACGGTGATCCGAGTGATCCTGCATATGTGCTCAGATTAGCTCCATTGGTCTATTCTAATAATTATTCTGCACTTGTGCCAACCACTTGTTTGAAGGCAAACACGCAAGATGCTGCCAGCGGTAAGGAAAGGAGCCCCGGCCTCGTCCCTCGGGGTCGGAGTCACGCGACCTGAACCCCCGAGCTGCGTGATAGAGACACTCGGCAGGTCTGCTTCGCGTCGAAATCCTTCAGGTTTCCCTTTGCAACCATCAAAAAAAAGAGGCCCCCTATTTGAGAACCGCCTTGTTGTGGGGTATGTGAGGGGGAAAGGGCTGATAAGGGGTACATACCGTCTATTAAAACCCCGCCAATCAACATGAAAAATGCCAACAAAACACAAGGGACGGCCAAAAAGTCACCCCGTATGAGGATTGGGTTGGGACCATCAAAGCAACCGATGTTCTAAATCAACTCAAGCGGAGAACAGGCCCTTGCCCAACACTGGCCAATTGGGTTTGGGGCGGTGCTATGGTGCTGGGCTGGTTCACTTGCAATATCTAGGCCACTCACACGCAAAAGTCCCGCACACAGGCAGCTGCGAAGGCTGCAGTCCCAACAGCAACTGGAAAAGCAGGTTCTTCGAAATCCCTATCACAAGGGGGAAAGGAGCCCACTGCGACTTGGACGTCATTTGAAGGCTCGGAGCAAGGACCATGGCCTCCAAAGTTTACCTCCGCCCGAGGCGACTCGCGACTCGCAACTGCGTGCCCTGACAACTTCAGGCGCTTGCCGCGACTCCTGGCGCCGTCGCGAGACATATCTGGGTGAACAGGGGGTCTGGATGAGTTTAAAGACGCCCATCCGATTTGGGTTTCCCTGTGGGTAGAGTAAGGCCGGTGGTCTATTTAGCACCATTTTTTCCGACCGTGTGTGGATATTTAATAGGGTTGAAATGAAATAGGTGTGGCTCAAAATTCATGACCTGGGGTTAGGCAGGTCTTGGTCCTTGTTTTCAGAGGCATGCCAGTAAAACAGTGGCCCTGGTCCCTGCTTGGGGCTCTTGGGCGCTTTTGAGGGGAGCCATACGTGCCAAACAAAAAGGGAAATACCGTGCCACTGCATAACTGGGCAAGGTTCCAGGAATGACCCCCCCCCCACAGAAAATTCGAAAAATGCAACGAGCTCGTTTGACATTGTTTGTACGTGTCACCCACTCGCCCCCCGCAACCAAACCTCAAGCAAAGCCCCTTTGAGGCTAGCTTTCGGGAAAAGGGGCATCGTCAAGTCGACTCAGATTTTCCGAGGGTTTCCTGGGCTTATCCTGGGATACCCCAAGCCAGAAACACAAACAGGCAATGAGCAAACGCGCATGCCCGCAGCACCCGGTCCTCGTTAAAAGGCTCAAAATGCTCTGGCTTTCCATGAAATCGGGCGCCGACCTGGGAGTTCTAAGCTCCGAAGTGCCATGCGGCCAACATGGCCTGACTGGGTCGTGCAAAATGAAACGAACCCTAAGGTTAACCCCGGATTAAGAGCAACCCCTGGTTGATTAATAGGGGGTGTTCCCTTTTAGTGGGGATATGTGGGGATTCATCACTTTTGGAGGGAACACCCCCCTAATAATGGGAAGGGTTTATTAATCCTGGGTCAGCACCCATGAGGTCTCATCCATATTGCTGGTGCGATAGGCAGGGAATGAGGGGAACGACCTTTACAAAGCAGCCCGTGTGGTTTCGTTTTAGGGGACCCCTGGGTTCACCAGAAGCCAACAACCTGTAGTAGGACCCCACTCCGACAAGAAACACCAGGCAACAGGATTCAGGAGTGAAATTGAAGAATCCCGTTTGCGGAAAGATGGCAGCAAATCCCTGCCATCTAAAGGTCGCGCGAAATTTCACATGGAAGTTAAAATGTAAACTCCATGGGACGTGCAACTTTCTGAAGCACTGCAACCAGTTTGCCCTCAGGCCCACATTTTGAACAAGGTCGCAAGATTGCACCAAAGAGCAGCCAACTGAACATCTTAAGCTCGTGTTGGCTTGCTGAAGACTGAGGATGACGAAGGCCCGAGCATTGTTAAACCATTGCCAAGTGCATCTGCAAATGTGACAACATGTCCGAAACCTGAGATAAGGCAATCCCCAAGCAAAGGATCTTTACCATGGTAAGCTCGTCGTACCCCCCGAATCGGTGGAGCTCGCTCCTAGAGTCGCGAGAACCAGGTTTTGTCTGACTCAGCCTCACGCCGAGCTTTCTTCAAGTCCTGGCATTCGGCTTTGCCTTGGCTGCTGAGCGGTGCGGGCCACCCCGTTCCTGTTCCTTTTAAGGCCCGTGTGCTTCCATGCAACGAGCCTTGCTTAGAAAGCACCGTTGGGAGTGCGCTTGGAATATTCTCGGGCAGGGATCTCTTGTCAGGAGCCGTTGGTGAGACTCGCGTTGAGGTCGTGTCACTGTCAAGTGCGAGGTGCCGTCGGCCTAAACATCGACATGGTAGGCCTGGATATTTAGAAACTCGGTAGAACGCACGCCTTGTGAATCTGGGTCTTGAAACACGAGTTCAGGAAAAAAAGGAAGAACAAAAAGCATACCGCCTCGTCGTTTCCTGAAGGGGCAACTCAACTTCATGAGTATTTAGCGCCCAGCGATCAAGCAAGCAGTGAATATTTCAATGGACTCGAACTACATCCGAGCTGGGGTTGGAAACTCTTACCCCCTTCGCAGTCCCTGGACACTCCAACCTCCTTTCACCGCTTTCACTTTCTTCCCCCCAAAGCTGACAAAACCAAAACCGAGAGAAAATCACAAAATCGGTGTGGTGGGTGCCCTGCAGTCCGCATGACACCATGTATGTTTAGTTGCTGGCTTCGAACATCCGAGCGGGGGAAAAAAAAAACAAAACAGACCGGGTACAAGGGTTACCCACCAACTAACACCTAAGTGCACAGACCCCTGTAGAAAGACGACTTTCCTCTTTGAAAGGATGTGTGTGCAGATCCATATTTTAGTTGGTGGGAGGGGTTTTTCTCAGATGCCCAGCGGCCCTGGGAAACAAAGGGCACCCCTTTGTTGTTTGAGCTTAGAGGGGAACCCTTACCCAAAAAAAGGAAAACAGGGCACCACTGGGCAACATAAAAATGTCGTGGCATTTGTCAACCACAAACCCAGTTGCCATTTCGCTCATGCCGCTAAGCGAGCGGCCGCCGCGCAAGTCGGCGAGGGTACTGGCCCTGGCCGAATTGACACCAAACAACGAGCCCCAAACGATTTGGGATTACTACGGCTTACCCCGCGGATTCACATGAACCCCCAGAATACCCCCTTTCTCGGTCGCTTGCTGCTCCCCTGCTAAAAGTGAATGACTTTTAGTGGTTTAATACGGAAAACCCGTTACAGTTGGCAAAAAGTGATTCAGTCCTAACATCCCTTGGCAAAATGCGCCATAGCTTTGTAGAGGGGCTTCCCTTGAAGCAAGAGCTTTGGGGTTTCAGGCTGCTGGATCCAAAGCTCATTCTGAGAACGAGAGACGCAGAGCGAATGCTCGCTCAAGGCCCAGAGCGAAGCTGCCCTCGAAACAATCCAAGGAACAAGAGGTGTGTCACAATCGGCGGCACAGGGAATTCCGCGGGTTAGCATCTGCAATGCAAGTTATGCGGGGTCGGTGATTGTTTCCACAGTGGAAACCCGGTGCTTTTCCTTACGCAGAGGGCCTTTATGACCACCCCCTTTCAATCGCAATACAACCAGGTTTTGAACCCTGATCCACTCCCTCCAACCTCCAAGGATATCCGTTTGGTTAGGCTTAGTAGGTAAAGGTGTTTCCAAAATTCGCGGACCCGTGAAAGTCAACTCGCCTACCTAACCGACATCCTCAAATGAATCGTGGGATAGAAAGGCTTTCTGAAAGCCAGCGTGAGAGAATGTTGCGCGCCTGGGCAACGGCTGGATCTGAGGGTCCAGCCTGAAATCGGGCTATGCGTCGGCCGTCTCGCACTTGGATGCTCCAAGGCAAGCAGCTTACAATGGCTGGGATAAGGGTTTTCGTGGCTCACTCATCGTTGCCTATACTTGGTTATTTGACGAGGTGGCCATCCAAAGAGGGAGCGGCAGCTTTTAGGAAACCTCCCCAAAACTTTTACAAACGGGGGTGGGGGGGTCACCAATTCCATTTACCTAGTCTTCCCCATAGAAGGTAAAAATGGAACCACGCCCCTAAAAAGGCGTCTGCGCGGAGCCTCGGCGGCGCAGTCGGCCTGGCATGTCATGGAGAACGGGCGCTGGACAATATGGGTGAATTTTTTTGAATATATATATAGCGGTTGATTCCAATTCCATTCTTGCTAGCCATCGTTCTTTTCAAACACCAATCGCCCTTTTATTTCAGGGTTTGTTGTGGCTTTCTAGAAAGAAGGATCCCTGGAAAGAATGGGGAAGGTACCCCTATAGAATATAACCCTTCTTCGGACCCGCCCAAACACACCCCTCCAATATGTGCCCGTCTTTGTCTTTTCCAAGGGAGTTTGTTTGGCGGCGATTTTATTCTATTTGTTTAGGGGGAGGGGCGTGAGCTGAATACAGGAGCCCGCACAACACAAACGATGCACATGGCCATTCAGCACCAGAACAAACCACTCAGCCAACGGACTGCGGCACAGTTTGGCCAAGGATCTTCAGAGTGTGCCGGGCCCTTTGTCAGAAGCAACGCGGGTGCGTTGCAAATCCCGATAAGCTCGAAGAAGAACTGCGAAAGCTAGGGGCCCCGTTTAGTTGGTACAGGGGAACGACAAAGTCATGCCTAAGTCATGCCTGGCTGGTTCCCCCATTGTAAACGCCCATGCAAGAAGTCATGCCTAAGTCCTGCCTTCGACTCTTTCCCCACTGTGAACGCAAGAGGTAACCGCCAAAAAAACTTAGCATGTGCCATACAAAGATGAATTTGCAATGCCAGGGGACAAGGAGGAGGGCATAATTTTCTTTGGGTTGCTTCCCCATTCTTTTCAGCCATCGTTCTTTTTGAAAAACCAGCCATTTCCCCAGAATCTTTGATGGTTTTCTAGAAAGAAGGATCCCTGGAAAGAATGGGGAAGCTACCCCTAGAAAGTTGCCTTTTTGCGAGAACAGCAAAACCAACGATTCACGTGACAGAACCAATTGCATCGCTCAGGGCACCCCCCCGCTCTCTGAGAAATGGGCTTGTGTCTTTAAAATAAGGGAACCTCAAACAAAGACACACCTGAATAGACTCGAGGCGCTTTTCCAACAAGAAAGGCGGCTGGGCCCGCCTCACTTCAACTTCTCCGCCCGCGCCTTCCAAGTGCCGAGGCTGCGAATTGTTGGACCCAAAAATGCGGCTCTCTCCTGTTGCTTTCCCGTACCTCAGATTAGTTCCTCTTGGCTTCCCTGCTAAACCAACTTAAACAGGTCACAAGCCGATATAGTGACGGTTCTCCTCTTGGCCTAGGACCTCCAATAGAGAGGCTAGAATAAGTTGGTACCAACTCTTTTCAGTCGTCTATTTTAGAACCCTCCCCAAGAAAGGGGTAAAAGGGCATAGTGGAGGACCTAGTAGAGGTTGGTTCAAGTTTAAAGCGAATCCAACAGAAAAACCAAAATGTTTTTGGTGTCTTGAAAATACCCAACAAATGGGGTTAATAAGTTGGCACCGCTGGGGGCCCTAGTGGCTTCAACTTCAAAAGGCCAACATGGCAGGTGCTTTCGCTCTCCAGGCTTTTCGGGACCAAAGCGAGCGGCGATCCGCAGGCTTTTCTTTTTTCGCAGGGAACCGACCGGATGCGGGCAAAAAGGGGCAGGGAATCGCAATCAATTGCCAGATGCTGGGAAAGACATGCCGATCTTTTTGCCAGAATGTTGACCCCACATTCAAAAAAATATGGCTGATTTTTTTGGGGCAGTGTCCCCTTTGGTGGAGATTCATCATTTTGGAAGGAACACCCCTCGAATATAGAACCTCATGATAGGTTGGGCAAGGAGTTGAAAGGGCCCACAGCCCTTCTGCTGCTAAGAACCAGCGCACTCGTCCAAACGGGTCGGATCGTCGTGTGATAGTTGTGCAAAAGGCATCGAAACGGAAGCCGGAACAAATGACAAAATACTCCCCGGATAAACGTGGAATATGTTTTTTACTTGTTCTTGTTTCTCTTTAAACAAAAAAGAAAAGAAAAGAGAAAAACCGATGTAGGCGCTTTTGGGAGACCCCTTTTGAGTTGTTCCGTAATCTGTGAAAGGGAGTATGGCTCAAGACAGTGAAGGCAAGCGATGCGTCAAGCGCTGGACTGGAAATGGCTTTTGCCGAGCGCCGCCTGAACTGGCACTTGTAACTGTGTCGAAAAGATCTGGAAGGCAGAGGTCATTTGGCACCTTCACGAAACACGGATGGAAACCCAAGGTGCTTGGGTAAGTGAGCCCATGTTTCAGGAGTGCCCCAGGGAGGGGGGGGGGAGGAGGTCATTTTTGACTTGGTTTCAGCGACCTTCGCCGTTCCAAAGCGTCATGCAAGACAACTATGGCAACAACCCCCCCCCCTCCACCCTCCTTACAGAGCTTGGGATTCTTAACTTGACTTAGAGCCTTCGGTGCCTCTGAATCGAAGTCGGAGACCTGCATGCCCCAATCTGACTTCTCCGCAGTCGGAAGTCACTCGGACATTGCTTTTTCATTGATGGAAGAAGGTGAACCGCATGGCGACAGGGTCGCTCCGTGCAAGTGTGGCTCAAAACTACTGATGAACCAATCGGGAATGCAGAGTTTTCAGCCAGGGCCATTTTGGTTTCAATCACAAATCTAAGCTGGTGGAATATCCGAGTAAGAGATTGAGATGAACCAGTGAAGGGACCCTTACCCCAAGCATCAGCATCCCTTGAAGTAAAAAGGGATCTCCATTGAAAGGTGTTGGAGTGATCAATGGCGCGAAAACAAATGTCGCAGACCTTTTTTCTGAGTGTAGCTTTTGTTGAATTGCATTGCGTATTTTCACAAAACAGCAAATTCACGGTTCTTCGCAGAACAAACACAATTCGGAGAGCAACACGCTGTCAAAAGAGGAACAAAACAAACAAGTACAACGGGCTTCAACCGTTTCGAGCCAGCAGATTGAGCCTCTATAATCAATGAGCCTTCCACAATAACTTTCATAATATGTTATATGTCCAGTAGTGAAATCGATTCCCTTCAAAAGCCAACATGAGAAAAAATAGCATAGTCCTTTCAGCACATGGAAGAACGGGGGGGGGGCACCCCCAAAAGGGCCATCTGGTAATTTGATGCAATCTGGGTCAGTCTTGGCAATGGGTCAGTCTCTCCTAATCCTTCAAACAAAGATTCCCTTTAAAGCCAAGGGAAAATATAAAAGGGGGCACCCCCAACTAAAAGAAACTGACCCATGTGATGCTTCTGCGTTGCCTTCCCTCGCCTTCGGCGCCCGGAGCTCCCCGAGTCTCGCCTCGCCTGAGGACCGAAGGAGCGCAAGGCGAACAAACGAGTCCACGGAAGCTCCCGGTTGACCCGAAAAAAAGAAAAACAAACAGAAGACTTGGTGAACCAACAAAGACATAGGCCAATTGGAGGAGCTTCCGGCTGAGGGAGCATGTGGGCAAGAGACACGCTAAGAACATGTTCAACCATAGACAAACCGGGATATTTTGTTACCTCGAATGAGAGGGCACCCACTTCCGATCGTGGTATTAGCAGCAGTCCAAGAACTTGTTGTTTGCCACCCAATTCGCCCTCCCAAAGAGTGTAAAGTCCAGGCACTCACGATGTGAGGTGGTGGAAGAACGTTGTCAAAACTAAGGCAGGGTATCAACACACAGGTACCAATTTCATACCAATGTCATACCAATTGTCATACCAATTGTGTATCATCGTTTACACATTTTATACCAACGGGATATGACATCTGAGCCCAAATATGGTATTACATGTGTATAAATGTGGTAACACAAAATGTATAACATTGGTATAACTGCAGCGTACAATGTGTTTAACATTGGTATAAACTTGGTATAACTTTGGTATACATGTGGTATACAATTTGTATAAACATTGGTATCAAATTGGTATCAAATTGGTATAAACATTGGTATCAAATTGGACTAAATTGGTATGAACTAGTAGTGACCCTGAAAATGGTTTGTAGTAACTATATCCACAATCAGTATGGAACAAATGCCCAAAATACCCCCTAGCACTGATAAAGAAGGGGGGTCATTTATTGATAGAGGCAAGGTCTAAGCTATGCTTATTCAATGAGTTTATGGGAGCCCCTAAAAATATCTGTTTTGATTTTTCATCAGGGGTCATGATCAACTGCAGTCTTTTGAACCATTTCCAAAAACTATGGATTGTTCTTTGGTTCTTTCCATGCGTAGGGGCAAAGAGTAAGTGTTTGTTTGCGGAAGCGCTACCGCAAAAAAAATGCTTCGGGAACCCATCCTAAGGGCCAAAATGAAGATCTAATGAACGATACACCCCCCAAAAAAATGAAAGCGGGCTCCTTGAAGGATTACTACATCCCAAAACAACTTGCGTTTCCAGTTCTTCTGTGTCTTGTTTTAACTTGACCCAAAAATCCTTGGACCGGCTCTACTAAAAGTGGGTTCTCACCTTCAACCCGGCGAGATGCAAGGGCCCTTCGGGGCTGGGCAATCGTTGCAGAAAGCTGCGGCCGCGGAAGAGCCTGGCAGAGCTGTTGGTGGGCATATGGGGAGCCTTTTCTGAGGGGAAACCACAAATTGTGTTCTTTCATTTGGTTTCCCTTCAATTCCCACCAAACAGGGGCACCCTCAAAAAGACGCACCTTTATGCATCCCAACATGTGTCCAGGGTTTGCAACGGTACTACCCAGTCCTACAGAACCAATATCATGCTCCATATTCAGAACCGATCACAGAACTACCATAAAGGGAAATGGAACCACCCGAAAACTGTTGACGGGCTAACGCGTATTGCCCGTTGCTATGAACGCTGCCGCCAAAAGCTGAATGTCTCTCGAAATGGCCCCCTGGCTGTTGGCCAGAGATGGATAAGACATCGTAAACAAATAATAGGGAAAACACCTTGCAGTATACTGCTCCCTCGTGAGATAGCCAAAAAAAGATACCTTGCTCCATCTGCATCGAAACATAGCCATGGGATTCTGCATTCTTGAACGTTCCCCTGATGGTCCAGGCCAATACGGGTCCCCACGGATAGACCCTACTGGGCCTCAGTAGTTCCGTAGGCGCTTTTTGTTGGGCCCTATTATGATGGAACTGCAAGGGAAGGCCACAGGGCGGAGGCTATTCATTGTTGAACCACTGAGGCATCATTAGGGGCTTATCCTTGGCTGAATCCAGAACTAGCAGGATTCGCATTTTTCCCCCTATACAAACATCACCCCACCTCACCTTTTGCTTCATCTTTTCGCCAAAAGAACATCACCCCACCAACTCGCCTTGTGCTTCAACCAACCAGCGGGGAAACGACAGCGACCCCGGAACCACCCCCCCCCAGGAGGTCCACGTCGACGCCTCCACGTCGCCGGAGTGCAGCCCTCCAACGGATCACCTAGCCCGCAGCAGAATATGGCCGTGTCTCAAAAATAGGTACCTGAAATGGAACCCTGGTGAATGGAAAGAAGGACTAAAACCTGCGGTTTTTTGGTGGCTTAATTTTGGACCCATATGAAGGAGTGCCCGTCTTTGGACCTTGCCAAAGCTGCTTTTTCTCTACCTTGGAAAGCGTCTGGATCCATGGAGGTTGGGAAGTGTACCATTCACCCACAAGAGCTCACTTTCTCAGCGCATGTGCAAAAGAATGAAAAGAAAAAGAAAACACAAATGGTCCAAACCCGAACCGTTTAAAATCCAGCAAGGAGAGGACCAAGGCTTCACATCCAAATCCAAAGCAGTCCAAACACACGTGAGGTCTCTGGTCCTTGCCACTCTTTCAGTCGCATCTCAGGCGAAGGCGCGGTTGCGGCTCGGCCCGCCTCGTTTTTGGTCATGGGCATGGAGTGACGTCTGGTTCTACCAACATGCGGTCTGCACATCGGAATCGATACAATGTCGTGTTGGTACATACCCCTTTTACATATCCCTTGGCTAAATGACCCAAACAAATTGCTGGGATTCAAACCCTTGTCCCCCGTAAAGTAAAGTGAGCTGGTAACCAGGAAGGAAAGCCGAGGGGGTATGAGCAAGGGGACGTAGTCCCACCTGTAGACAATGGGCATGAGGGAATTTAAAGAGTTCCGCGCAAACCAATATCAATCCAACATCTCAAAAACAGTGACAAAACGGCATTTCGCTTGCAGCTTTGAGGGTGGTTTCCTCGGATACCTGCTTGCGACTTTGGAGGCGGGGCTCGACAGGTAGATAGCAACATTTGACCGGCCGCATGGGCCGCATGGGAAGGGTCTGGAAAGAGTTCCTGCTTTCGGAAGAGTTGCTTCCAAGTATCGCTTCATCTGCAGTTTTGGCCAAGGACAGGGCAAGGGCGTCCAGTATAGAATGCGGTGGAGTCCCGTTCTTTCATCCCTCTTTTTTTCTTTTGTTGGAGGGGGTGGAGTTTGCACTTTCCTCGTGTTCTTTGTTTTGTGAGGCAAGGCTACCCTTTTCAAGGTTGGGGTGTGCGGGGAACTTCCTCAGGAAACCACCTCACCGCCTTTTAAGATCCAGTTGCGTTCTGCTAATTTTGACGCCACAATGGACGGTCATGACCCATTCTCTAGCCAAAGAGGCGAGGCTCGGACTGTTTGGTCGCGGGGAAAACTGTTTTGCTCCATGTCCCATGTCCTGTGCAAGTATTCCGAGGGCTCCATTTATTCTATTGCTCCACGGTAGATAGACTTTAATCCCAGGGACCCCCTTGTGAAATCAACACTCCTTGGGCTCAACCAACCAACCAACCGAACGACCGACCGACCGACCGACCAACCACCCACCCACCAAACCAACCCACCAACCCACCGACCGACCGACCGACCGACCCACCCACCCGCCCACCCACCCACCAACCAACCAGCCACCCACCCCCAAAAAAAAACGGGGGGAAGAAAAACACCGGATCCAGGGTTCCCCTTTGGGCTCGCCCGGCATGTCTCGCCCTCTGCACAATAAGGCGCATTTCGAACTTCGGCCACGGCGCCTTGGGCTAGCTGAGGCGCCTCGCTCTCAAGCAAACAACGCCCAGCCCTTGTCCTGGGACAAAAAAACACTTGGCTGTGGCTCAAAAAACAACGTGCGTGTTCTCCTCGAAGGAATAAAATGGAAGTACTTGAGAAAGGCCAGGCCAAAGGCTGGCACCAATATGGCTGCGGCTCAAAAACATGTACCAAAAAGGCACCCTTGGCAAATGGAACCAAGACTCAAACCTGCGTAACCCTAGCTGAGCCCCTCCCACATAGCACATGCACGTCTTTCCCTTGTTTGAGTGGATTGACCAACACAAATTCGAGGACTTATTGCTTGCGACCAAAATCGTCCAACCCCCACCAAGTAAAAAGTTCAGGAACTCAGGAAGTGAGAAGCTTGCTACGGTTTGTTTCCAACTGTCTGCAAAGCCCTACGAATGGGAAGTGCGGCTGCTCTGGAAGGGTCCGGTTCTTGATCATGCGTTGGGCCCCGTTCTCTCCCCTCAAAAACACGGGTGCCCAAAACAAGGGCCGGACCCCTCCAAAAAAAAAGGAAAGGAGAAAAAATGGTTCCTTTTGGGTGTTTGCGTTTCTGCCTGTTTCCGCTCTTTTTGCGTCTGGTGATTCTGGGTTTTTCGACGTGCTGTTCTGTGTTTCTTAGTGTTAGTTTTAAAGTGGGGCCTCTTTGTACCTCGGATCACTGACTGGGCTTTATGGGGCTGTCCCATTTTACGGAACCCCTCCACAATGGTGGTTTTTCTTTTGGCTTCCTTTAAAACCCACCGAAAACGGCCCCCCAAAAACAGACAGACCCATACGTCCTTCTTCACATTAACGTTTTTGCCGTTTTGTCGCGCGCGTATCGCTCAGCCAAATTATTGGGCTGCGTCTCGCGCAGTTCTCCACGGCGAATTGACCTTCTTTGTGCCCGGCTGTGGATGCGCGAAATACATGTCGCACCGGTCAGAAACCTTGGAATGATATGATTTGGCTGCAAAAGCAAAACACGGCTTCAGGCATGGTTTCTTAGGTGGCGCAAGCGGTTTTCGCACCCATCCACAGTACCACCCATCATTTCAGTTGGGAGAGGAAACTTCGAGGTTTCCTTCCAAGTCCTCAGGGCTACCCTTTTGCTTCTAAGCCCGCCAAAGTTCCAGCTTTTGCTTCTAGGTCATCGCAGAGTTGAACTGGCCGCATGGTTTTCTGACGAAAGACTTTTGACTTTGATAGGCCAAAGAACGGTAAAAATCATGACCCCAGTTGAATCCGCGAGGTGTTCTGCGGATTGGGGCGACCATTAAGCAAACCGCAAGAAAATATGACTGTCAACAAGTTTCCCATGGCCATTCTGGGGCCACAAGGAAAGTTCTGATCCAACACCCCAAGTTTTACTTGGCGACCCGAAAACCCCCCTTTGGGTCACCCCGACGGCTGGTCAATACTCAGTAGACTTGGTCAACTTAAGGGTCGACTTACCCTACTTATAACATAGGTTATAAGATAGGTAACATAGGTTATAAGTTGGTTAAGTGGGACCCTAAGTAGTACCTAAGTAGAACTCGAAGTCAAGTCAGCCGTAAGTTAGTTAGGTCCCACTTACCTGACTTAGCTTAAGTGTAGTCCAACAAGTTAGGTTAGACTTAGGTTCGACTTAGGTCCGCCTTTTTTTGCACATGTCGCGCCATCCGGTTACATCTCATTTACGCCCCAGGCTTGTGAAAGTACATCAGTGGCTCGCGCGACCGACCGCAGCAACTTTTGGGCTCCACGGTGGATAACATATAGACCGCCACCTGGTTTTTGAGCTCCGCATGATTTTCTTGGATTCTGTTAAAAAAAGGGGGGTGTCGGCCACCTGTCGGCCTTTGTCGGCCCGTGGATTTGTTTCGAAACGGGGCAGAGGGAGAGTCGTCGGCCCGGCGTCGGCCCGCCCAAAAAACGTATGGTTTTATAAGGTTTTCGTGTCGGCCTCCCTCGGCCCGCGTACTTCGCATGAACCCAGTGCATTCCTCACACGTCGGCCCGGAGTCGGCCCGCTTTTCGGCCTGCGGGCAAAAACCTAAGTTCTTTTCAAGCCTGCGGCGTGGCGTCCTGACGGCGCCACTGTAATTTGCTTGCACTAGAATCTGTATTTTGCATGAAGACCTGCAACCCAGCGCATCGCGCTGGAAATTCGCTGCACGAACAAAGGCGAGAGCTGCGAGAAAAAAAAAGCCGCTGTCCTTCTCGAGTTGAACAAAAATGCTCTTTCGTAGGCCTCCTGGGATAAAAGCCCATCCTCTAAAAACAGAAAAGCCACCCGAAAGAAACCTACTTAGGTCCTACTTGCAACCTCGGTCTAAGTTTGTCGTAAGTAACTTATAACCGACTTAACATAAGTTGATGTTAAGTAACTTATAAGTAGGGTAAGTTGGTCCTAAGTGGAACAAACCTATTGAGTACCCCTCTGAGCCCGCGGCGGCAGGCTTCCTCTGGAATTTCCGCTTCCGAGTCCGGCAAACTCGGGGAGGACAGCCTGCTCAGGTTCTACCACTTGCAAACTACACCCTGAAACGTTTGTTGTTGTTTACCATGATTGCCCTTTCTTCCACTAACATAGCACCTGTTGGAGGGTATGTGGAAGATCGATTTGCTCCTGAAGACACCCCCTGTGATGTGCCATGTTAGTTGGACGGAGGGTAAGACTTTTGCTCTTGTCACGCGATCTCAAACAAAAGGACCATAAAGAACGAAAAACCAACTTCCGGCCGCCGGCTCCGTTACTAACTCCGTGTTTTTTAGAACAAAAACGACAAACTCCGGAGTACAACCAGTTGAGATAGCATAATGGTAGAAAAAATCATGACAACGAGAAACATTTCAGGGCAAAAACAATGTTTCTTTTTTGTCCTCTTTCTTTCCATGGCTTATGTGATTTCCGTTTTCCTTCTTTGTGTTCTTCTTATCTTCTGTTGTTTTGTTTGTCTGTTGGTTTGTTTTTTGTTTACGAAACAGTATGTAGTCTTCGCTTTCTTTTGTTTCTTCTTTCTTTCTTTCTTGCTTTCTTTCTTTCTTTATTTTCCTTGTTTCTTCCGTCCTTTCTTGGTGTTCTTTTCTGTCTGTCTTTCTTTCTTTGTTTCTTTCCGTTTTCTCTCTTTCTATCCATCTATTCCTCTCTCTAGCTACCTCCATCTATCCACCTCTATCTCTACCTTACTACCTATCCAGCAATTCTATCCCTCTCTCCCTTCTATCTTCCTCGATGCTATTTACTCTCTCTCTCTCTCCATCTATCTATCCATCCACCTATCTAAGTCTCTCTCTCTCTATCAATCTCTATCTATCTTATTGCTCTCTATCTACTTCCAGTATCTTTCGATTTATCTATCCATCTGCTATCTATGTCTCTATCTATGTCTCTATCTAGATATCTCTGTATCTGTCTATCTACCTCTTGCTTTTGCGCCCCGCTCTCTCTCTCTCTCTACCTAAATGTCGCTCTGACCATTTATCGATCCATCTAACTCTCTTCCTCTCTATCTCTCTATCTACCCATCTATCCATCCTATCTGCAAGAGCTATCTTTTAGCATGCGCCATATGATCTTCTGAATCTATGTATGTGCGCAAGCTATTTTTCAATTAGTCCCCGTACTACGGAAGTTCTTTCCAAACTTCATCTGGTTATGCTGTCTCATATGGCTGTTGCCCTCGCATGTGTCGTTTTGCGTGTGAGGCGTTTGCCAGTACTGCTATCTGACATGGCTTTACCCTCAAACATGCGTCGTTTGTGTGATGATGTTTATGAGTATGTTATCTCCACGGGTTACCTTCAGATGCTTGCCGTTTTGTTCTTTCTTTTAGTATGTTATCTCCAATGGTGCCTTACACTTAAATGATTGGTTTCCATTCGTTGTTGTTCTGTAATCTCAAGTGGATGTTGCCGTCAAATGTTTGTCGTGTTTGTTATTATTGTTTTTGTGTTGTTATCTGAAATAGATGTTTATCTCAACCATGTGTCGTTTTTGGTGTTCTTGTTGCTTTTGCCTTGTTCCCTCAAACGGGCTTGCCCTCAACTGATTATTAGGCTTGTTTTTATTCTGCTCTCTCAACCGTTTGTTTATTATTGTTATTGCGATGTTAATTCCAATGGCGCCTTACAGATTGAATGCTGTAGTATGTTCATAAGTTTGCTGCTATTACGTTATCTCAAATGGCTTTTATCCTCAAATGTGTCGTTTGACTACAGTATAACTTGTTGACCTCAAATTTTGCGGTTTTAATGATTGCTGGTATTAATATCTCCACTGGCGTCTTACCCTCAATTGCTTGTTATTGCAAGCTGTTATTGCCCTCCAATGGTTTGTCGGTTTGGTGACTGTTGCTGATATTTTGCGTTCTCAAACAGCTCTTGCCCTCAAATGTTTGTTGCAATATGTTTCTTTTCTTTTGTAATAACGATGTTTGTGATTATGTTATATCAAGTGTTTTGTGCCTTGAAATGGTAGCCGGGAAAATTAGTATTACGGTCATGTTGCATTCAAATGTTCGCCCTCTGTGTGGTGTTAACGACACTTGTTCTTGTTGTGTTGTCTCGAATGATGCTTGACCTCAAATGTGTCGTTTGCATGTTGATTGTTAGTATTATGTTGTTATGTCAAATGGTTTTGCCCTCAACTGTTTGTTGGCAGTACTATGGTTGTTACAGTCTGTTGTCTCAAACGGTCTTTGCCCTCCAATTTTGCCGTTTTACCACTATTGTCATTGTGTTATCTCAAAAGGTTTTACCCTCAAGGTTGTTCTTGTGTGGCCTGACATGTGTTTCTGCTCCACATGTTTCTGCCCTCAAATGATTCGTATCATTATGTTATATCAAATGGTTGTTCCCCTCCCATGTTTGTCGTTGAAATGAGTAGGGTTAATCTCATTGTTCTCTCAAAAGGTGTTTACCCTTAATGTTGTCTTGTGTTTTATATGTTCTTCAGACTGTTGTTCTTGCTGTTATTTCAATTGGTTCTTGTCCTCAAATGTGTGTTTTTACTATCATTGCTAGTATTGCGACGTAATCAATGGTTTGTGCCCTCAAATGTTCGCCGTTTCCTCTTCAATAGAGCTTTAATATTACTATATGAATATGCTATCTTGCATGGTTTTCTGACCTTCTTTTAAAGTGTCCGCCGACATTGCTCGGCGTGTCGGATACTTATTAGAGGATAGAGGATACCCCCCCCTAACCCCCCCCCGCCCGACGTCTATTACGTAGGTTTTTTTTTTTTTTGGGGGGGGGGGCACGTACCGCGCGGCAGTTTGATGACGTTCCACTAAACGTAGTCTTCGGGGAGCCGGTGTCGCAAAACAGGGGTCCCAGGCTCGATTCCCCCTGCCGGCTTTTTTGCTGGCTTGGGCTTCCTGCATCCGATGTTTTTGGACGTCCTCTTTGCGAAAACGCTGGGAAAACCGTGTTTTTTTTTGCGGGAAATACATACATACATGCATGCATGCATGCATGCATGCATGCATGTATACATTACATACATGCATACATACATACATTACATTACATTACATTACATTACATTACATACATACATACGTACATACATACATTACATACATACATACATACATACAATACAATACAATACATTACATTACATTACATTACATACATACATACATACATACATACATACATACATACATACATACATACATACATACATACATACATACATACATACATACATACATACATACATACATACATACATACATACATACATACATACATACATACATACATACATACATACATACATACATACATTACATACATTCACATTCATTACACATCATTACATACATACATACATACATACATACATACATTACATTACATTACATACATACATACATACATACATACATACATTACATACATACATACATACATACATACATACATACATACATACATTACATACATACATACATACATACATACACATTACATGCATACATACATACATACATACATACATACATACATACATACATACATACATACATACATACATACATACATACATACATACATACATACATACATACATACATACATACATACATACATACATACATACATACATACATACATACATACATACATACATTACATACATACATTACATTACATACATACATACATACATACATACATACATACATACATACATACATACATACATACATACATACATACATACATACATACATACATACATACATATACATACATACATACATACATACATACATACATACATACATACATACATACATACATACATACATACATACATACATACATACATACATACATACATACATACATACATACATACATACATACATTACATACATACATACATACATACATACATACATACATACATACATACATACATACATTACATACATACATACATACATACATACATACATACATACATACATACATACATACATACATTACATTACATTACATTACATTACATTACATTACATTACATTACATTACATTACATTACATTACATTACATTACATTACATTACATTACATTACATTACATACATACATACATACATCACATACATTACATTACATTACATTACATTACATTACATTACATTACATTACATACATACATACATTACATTACATACATTACATTACATACATTACATACATACATACATACATACATACATACATACATACATTACATACATACATACATACATACATACATACATACATACATACATACATACATATGTACATGCATGCATACATACGAGAGAGGGAGATTGGGGAGAGAGAGGCTTGGGGGGATGGGGAGGATGGGAGCAGAGGGAGGGAGAGAGGACGACAGAACACACAAGGGAGACAAGGAAGAGAGGAAGAAGGAGAAAAGGGAGAGGACAATGTCGGCGGACTGAGCCGGAGGCTCTAAAGTTCTAAAGTTCTAGTGTTTATGTCATCTCCAATAGTTTTTACCCCCCGCCGATTGTCGTTTTCTTGGTGTTGTGTCCTATTGCTATGTTGCCATGATGTTCTTTCCTCGGCAAATTTATTTGCTTTAGATTTGTTGGTGAGGGGATGGATGGAATTTTAGTTGACTTTAGAGGAACAAAGGGGCGCAAGTGTCTGGGAGAAGATCCTCAGTTGTGGGCTGGGCGCTACTGGCCTTCGCATGAGCCTGAGCCGGCGCTTGGGCGGAGCCGGGCATGTGTCCAGGGCCTCCTGACAAGCGACAGAGGTCAAGTGGCTGGCGTTCCGTTCTTTGTTTTGCTTCTTTTTGTGGTGGGGGGGGATGTGGGGGGGGGGGGGGGAACGGGCAAAACGGATGCTCCATGCAGCATGCTTAACAAAGGGAAGACAAGTAAAACCGACAAATGGATGCGTTTGACGGGAAGCAGCAAGCTAGCCAGACTTCGGTTCGAGTGCCGGCGGGGTCCTCTGAAAGGAAGCTCTTCAGAGCCTCGGGATGGCAAGCCCATACTGTGGATGGACGAAATCCTGCACCTAAGAACCGCCGGATTGGTGATTCCCCTGTAAATGCCAATAAACCATGGTTTCCAATGGTTTCAAAGGGGTGCGAAATGGATTTCGTCCATCCACAGCAAGTCCACCTCAGCTTTGGCCCCGCAACGCCGCCCTACCGCCTGCGCCAGTCCCTGCCGGCAACGCAAGCATTCTCGGCTCCCATGCGCGCTCCAGGGACTGGAGCACCGTGCTTTGCCTGCGGGAAGGCACCCATGGGGGACAAAAAAAAAGCGGCGGCGGCCGAGGTTTTTTTTGGGGGGCCCTGGGAATAGTTGTCGCAGTCCCTGCGTGCCTGGAACTCATACTGCTTAGGACGATAGAATAACAAGTTGTGACTTTTCTGGCCAATCCACTCAGGGAGTGAGTTGTGGAGAAGACTCAACAACTGAACTTGAGGAAGTCTTTCAGTGTAGGTTCGCTTTTCCTACCAGGGTCACAAGAAATCCTGGAAAAGGGTCTTGTTTCCTTAACCCCCCCCCCCACCCCCTTCTCCCAATTTTGTTGAACCTTTTGGTTTCCTTTAAGCCTACCCAGAAAGAGTACCCTCAAAAACAGACACACCCATGGAATTTAAGTTGTGCAGGCGCAAATGTGCGAAAGGCAACATGCAGCCGAGTTGTTTTTTGCACTTGGACTGAAAGCCGCGTATTTGCCGAAAACTCGGCGCCTGAGCCCCCTTGTTGGATCGTGCTTGAGGTGAACCAAAATAGGTAGGCTGATTTTGGGTCGGGCAACCTCGCGAACGCTGCTTGAAGGGACCTGGACCCTCCACATTCCCTTAGAAATTGGTTATCATTCCCCAAATCTGAATCTGACTCCCGCTGTGGAATTGGCAATGCGCAAAGGGAATTTGTATTACCAAGTATAAGGATGAAGGATTGATTTCCCAGATTGTACCCCATGAGCCCATGGCCATGTTGGATCCCAGTGACCAAGCGGACAGACACCATTTTTCTGATGGAAAGGACCGCATTAATTATTCCTTTTGCCTCCATGTGCTTTTTCACCCCACCTCCAATAGTGGAATCAATTCAAACTTAAAATCACCAGGAAGAAACTCAACAAATAATCCCTTCAGCAAAAGAAATCTTTTGGGCAAATATTATGACTTTTGTGCAAACAGAAGTATTGAACCACATCTTCATTTCAGCAAATAATTCGACTCTAGGTCCTCCAGTAAAGAGGTTCGAATAATGGTGCCCTTTGTTCTGTAGTTTATCTCTCACTTGCCCAAAGGACCCAGAAATAAAACCTTTTGGGGCCATGACTGAAACTAGACCAAAAAGGAGAAACCAAAAGGTCAGATCCGGTCGATTCGCTTTGGGCAACTGAGACCTTAGTAAAACGATCCCTCCCCCAAAAGAGAAACGGTAAACTCACTGGCTGAGTGGATGGCCCAAAAAAAGTCCAAACTTTATATTTACCACTAAAATGGTCCAAACCCAAAAAGTGACTAAAGTTCATGAACTCAGGAAGTGAGTAAAAGGGCACCAATTGCTGGACCTAGGACTCCTGAGCCCCGGTTGCTCTCGGCTCGCTCGCGGCTCGGGCCTTTGCCCTTCGTCCTTTCAGCTTGGGGTTTCGGGAGCCCAAAACCGGGCGCTTGGAGCGAGCTTCGGCTGGTTCAAAGGGCTAGGGTACTTAGTGGCTAGTAAGCCTGCTTCACCTTACAACCCACTGGTGATAAGTCTCTGTTCAGCTCGTAACCAAGCTTACCTAACGTACTAAGTACCCTACGCCTTGAAGAATAGGTTTAACGCAGTAGCCTTGGGTAAGAGACGCTGGGAAGGGACTCGCGGCAATTGTGGCGCAATCACCTCAACATGTTTGCATGCGGTTCAAAAACAAGTGCATTGATCCGCAAGACACTTTAAATCGCCCTTTCCAAAACGTGACATTTAGAACCAAACGGCACGAGCAAGTGAGCTGGAACCAAGCTAAGAACTCCCGTGCGAGCAAAACGACTTTTGGCTAGTTCGTGCAACAACATGCATGGGCGTGTCATTCTTTGGGGAATCGTCTCTTGGTTGCAATTGGTTGTTTTTAAATTAAAGAGCAACCAAAAGGAGGGCGCCCATAACACAAACCCCCGACATTTATTGCCCGTAAGGCCTGTTTTTTTGGCAGGCCAAGAAGGGAAGTTGACGCGGGTTCTAACAAAAACGGAGGCGACAGGGATGGGCCACTTCATCCAACATGTTAAACCGCATCCACATTTGCTTTAGCCCCCGCTGGAAAATCAAAAATATTTGCAGTAGTCATAGATTTCCAAAAAAAAATCAAGGTTGAACAAAGCTGCAGCATACTCGTTTAAACGCAAATGGTTTAGACTAAATCTCTTTTAACAACCACTATCATGTCCTTACAGACCTCCTGGTAGCTCCCTAGCTCCCTGTTTCAAAACAAACTTTGATACCCTCAGCTCCTTGGCTCCCTTCCAATCAACAGCTGGACCACCCAAAGGAGGGTCCAAGGATCGAAGACTGGCTCAAAGGCTTGGAGCTGAGAGAAGTTTTTACCTTTTGGGCGTGTCCAGAAGGTCAGCTTCCCGCCAATTCTCACTTGCCCCAAACGGGACCCAGAAATAAAAGGTGATCATGACTAAAACTAGAAACCAAAAAGAGAAAAGGTCGATTCGCTTTGGGCAACTGAGAATTGGTTCGGATTGGTTTGGGTTTGGAACCCGTTCTTACAAAGGGTAAATAGGGAGCCTCCCCCAAACGACAAAACCACGGGGTCTGGCTGAAGCTTGAGTGCGTCAAGGCTAACATCAGAAAGGCACATCCCCACCAAGTTTGCCTGGTTCCGGGTCTTCTCCATTTCACTTTGCGGTTTTCGCCAGTCAATTGCATCTTTTGAAGGCGAAATCCAGAAATCCAGTCCCTTCTATGTGACCCCTCCTGTTGAAGCCAACTTGGCCCCCACCAAAGGCGCGCACGCGTTTTTTGCCCCGGCGCCCCGAGGCGTCGCCACGGGGCGCGCCAGGGCGAGCCCCTGGCGCCGCGCGTGGTCCACAGACCGCAGCTCCGCGCCGATGGCGGGGAAGGCCGAGCCGGGGTCCTCGGTGGCGTGGTCCAGGATCAGGATGCCGTTCCTGGGCAAGGAACCAAAGCTTTGCACGAGGGGAGTCTTTTCTTCTCTCTTTTTTTTAGTTACACCCAAGGAACACCTGAAAAGGCACGGAACCCATTTTCGGGGAAGTACACCCAAACACAAAGACTTGCCGCTTTTCAGGCGGATGGCCTGGGATGCGTCTTGAAGCCTCGGTTTGATCTTCGTCCGGGTTGGGAAGTGTGGCAATCACAAAGAATCAGCTGCACTCCTCTCTCCCCCTCTACTCACTTCTTGAGTGGCTTGGCCGAAAAAGTATAGACTTGGTAATTATCACTAAAATTGGTCCCCCCAAAAAATAAAGTCCAAGCACGAGGAAGTGAGCTTAAGAAGATCCCAGCCCGCACGTGAAGAGGTGGAGGCAGGGTGCTATAAGGGCCTGAATGCTCAGAACGGGATTTATGGGGTATTCAAAACTGAATTCAATTGCAGGGTAAGGTAGAACAAGACTCGGAACCTGTTTGGGGGTTGACGGCTTTAGTGGGTCCTTCGCCACCCTTTAGAAATTAACAAAAATGTTCTTGGGCGCCAAAAAAAGCAAGCAAACACATTGAACGATCTACCCTTTTTCTTAATTAAGAGAAACCAGACATCCTGTTTGCGCCCAAAAAAGCACAATTCCCAGGACGATATCATCATCGGCCAAGGGCTCAAATGGTCCAGTTCGTGCTGGAAGGCCCTCGCTTGCTCCCCGTCCATGCGCTGCAGAAACGGTCTGCCCCGGAGATCCCGAGCCTCCCGAAGCGCGAAAAGCGCAGCGATCGAAAAGCGATCCGGACATCGGTGCGGTGGCGATTTGTTGTGGGTTCAACGCGGTTTCACTCGGCTCTATATAAGTGGCTGTCTGTGTGGGACTCCGGACAAACTTGAGAACTAGTCAGGGGTGGTTTCCCTCCAAGAATTGATCGAAGATCCACTTCAACAGAGCTCTTTGAATAACAATCCTCCAAATGAATCCGAAGTTGCCACTATGGTCGTCAAAGTTGCCACTATGGTCGCCAACGGTCGCAAGGGAAGCGAACAACAGGTCCCGACACTCACGAAACGAAAGTGCAGAGGCCGCTCATAGAAAATAGTTGTTGCTTGTGCCAGGAATCTGTGCACCCTCATGTTTTCCACCAGGATCCCAGGGGTCCATCAAAGTCGGAAATTAGGGCGGGTTCGGATGACTGTGAGAATGGTAAGATGATGGGGCCAGATAAAGGGAAGTCAGTTTAGGGTAGCTGGTCATGCTTTTGGGAGTTCAGGACGGAGTGGGAAACCAATGTAGGCTTTGACCAGGTTGATAAAAAAAAGGCTACTCGGATTGCCAAACGGATTGTTGCGCTGGCGTGTCACAGCCCGCTCGACTTCCTTTTCGGTTTACCTAATTTTTCCTCCGCTGTTCTTAGATCAAGTTGTTTGTTGTTTGTGTGTTGTTTTTTTTGGCTCCGTTCAAACCAGTCGGGGGCAGCCATACCAAAGGTGAAGAGTAGGCTTTCTTTGCTTGCATAAGCAACAAGGTCAAACGCAGAGCCCTTGGAGGCTCAGCCTGGTGCCTATGGAGTAGCTAGTGGATCTAGAGTAGCTAGGAGTCGCTAGTTACTATGCTCAGTCGCCCAAAGCCGACCTTTTGACCTCTTGGTTTCTCCTTATTGGTCTAGTTTTAGTCATGGCCCCAAAAGGTTAACCTTTTATTTCTGGGTCCTTTGGGCAAGTGGGTATGGAGTAGCTACTAGCTAGTGGACACCCAGACGCAGCAATTCTGAGAAGGCACTCCCCTGTTACCTTAGAAATCGTCGGGGAAGAGAGCTTGCTGTTAACCTGACAAAACAAATGAGCCCAGTCTAAAACCCAACAAAAAAACACATCCCCAAATTCCACGCAAATCGCCTCTACGGCGATTTCGCTGTCCCGCATCAAGGTGACCAGAACGTCCTCGGGCAGCACCAGGCACTGCTCCCGCCACCACCTACGCGGAAAATGGCTTGGCAAGACCCATGCCCACCTTCCAAATGGCACCCCCAAACACCCCCCAACACCCCACCCCCCAACCCCCAAACATCCCTCCCCCCCGCCCCAAACGCCCATTTCTCTGGCACTGCATGTGCACGGGAGGTTCCCCCGTAAAACGGAAAACATGGCACTGGAGGTCTTGAAAGATGTGGGCTCTCGGTTGGAGCCCTCAGGGCCAACCCGAAGTCACATTCTTCGACCTCGGCGTTTCCCAGCCCAATGCACAGGGGGCTTGAATCAACCAGATGGATTGTGAATGCCTCGATTTGCTTAAGCCACGAGCAAAAGCATAACTCCAGTGATTCCCTAAAAAACCAACAGGGGGAACAAACAACAATCAGCAAATAGCAATTGATAGAAGTAGAGCATGCTTTCTCTGCAGCCCCTCCATCCTGCACAGTAGCCCCACGCTTGGGCGGCCCAAGTGCAAGCGGGTCGCCGCATGTCTTCCTCCGGACTGCGCTCCACGATCTCGGGGTTCACAAAGACATCTGGGCCGGCCGCAATCTGCGCGTCCAGGACGATGATGCGGGCATCCACGCCCACCTGAGTCACAATCAAAACCCGGTAATACAATGGTCTACCCAGAATAAAGAATTAAGAAGGCGGCCGCAGCTATTTATGGCTGGGATCGTCCCGGGTTTTGATTGGGACTCACCTGGAACTGGGCCCATTTTTGTAAGACCTCCTCACAACGACCCTCTCACTTGCCGCTTAAGAAGAATATGTTCAACGAATATACCAAGAAAATATACCACCCAAAGCTCAAGGGGCAATCCCCTTCCAAGAAAGACAGGGCTTGCTGTTTCCCGCCTTGGGGATTAAATATCACTCTTGTCACGTTTTGGAGTGAGCCCCTCCTGTTGGGGTGATGTTGCAAGGGTGAATATAGGGAGCCCTGAAACATGTCTCTGGCGCAGCCCGCCCCTTCGCCCCTTGAACCCAGTTCACCGGTTGCGGTGTTAGGCCTTTCCCTATCAAACCTTGGTGGCTATGTGCTGCCTGTGCGAAAAGTCTCTTGTTGAGCTGCAAAACACCTCACGGTTTCCCAAACAGTTCACGGCTGAACATCTCCAAGAGCTGTCAATCAGCTCTACGATTCCACGCGTTGTGGGCTGTTGCAGTTTTCTCAAGCTCCCCTTTCTGGTAGCCCTCCTCAAGTCTTCATATACTCTGTACAGGGCTGGATCCACAGCCTAGTGGCGCGACTTGACTTTGAACGGAACCCCCTCAACACAAGTTGGACAAAGGGTTGGCATCCACTGGGCGGCTGGGTGCAGAGCGCCCGAAACCCAAAAAGGCAAACAGCAGCCAGAAGAGTCCGGCATTTTCAGTACATGGTGGACTTTCCTGCCCCAAAAAATAAGCAAACAAAAACATTAAAACTGTTTTTTTTTTCTGAAATACCGCCCGGTTTTCAAGCAGTGACCACCTCGTTCACCCATGAAAACCGAGCCAT